ACGAAAAATAAGTATTGTAGTCGATTGCTTTAGCAAATATAACTTTGCTTCATCGACATTCCCACTACAAAATGCATTATGGGAATAGGCCTGGCTTTCTTTGAAATTCACATCTGCCCTGTGAGCCAATGGCACGCGTGGCAGTCTGGCGTAGTGGTTAAGGTGTCGAGACTGAGCTCTGTACTACCACAACATGGGTTCGAGCCCCGCTGGGGAGGTGGTGGGGCGAGGTCGAGACTACAGTCCTCTACTGCCTGAATGAGAAGGGCTTTTGGGCAGCGATGCTGTGTGAAATTACATGGAAACATGTGGCCTACTTATTAGATTGTGGGAAAATTCAATTGCTACTCCTTCATCACCTTAAACGAAATAGGGTGAAAGCCGATCTTTGCTAAAGTAGACAGCATCGAGAATTGAAGAAACAAATATAAAATAGTGAATAAAACTTAGTGATTTCGGTCGAGTAAACTTAGGTTGAGAGGGAGAGTGAGTGTGTGAGATGAAGGAGGCGATAAGCAAATGAAAGAATCCTGCACAAACTACAGTCTGATTAGGGATACCATACGTGGCATGAGTTGAACAATGCATGCCTACAATACACTATACCAAATATCCTAACATGCGTTAACATTAGAGGATCAAACGCCATTCATTTTTATATAAACGAAGAGTAACTGGGTTTCCAAGAAGCTCCTGGGATAACATTGCTGGGGAGACCTTCAGTTCGTATGAAAGCGCATGAAGAAGAGATTCAAGGGTTGATCTCACCAGAAGACGACGGCTGAATCCCGTTGTACTGGAGCCGTTTGGCTTTAATACGTCGTTCAAGTTGACGCCGTCCAGAGAAGAGATTGCACAAGAGGGGCTCTTGAAATGAGTAGATTAGGGAATACGTTGGATGTAAGGAATGGTGGTAGAAAGTTAAGGAGGAACTATCGATGCTTGATTGGTAGATTGAAGGAGAGAGAGGGTGTTTAGCCGCGATCTAAAAGAAAGCGACTCAATTTGTCTGTTTAGGGATGGTTCCAACTTTATTCGCAATCGCCCAACATGTTGGATTAAGCTCATCAACCAAACCAGACGTTCGGGATTATGCTGCCCCAGGCATACCCTCCCTGAGCGGTTAAAGCTTAATGACCCTAAACTGTCGCCCTGACAACAAGACCAGGTTGCGACAACGAGTTCAACCCACTTCTATAAATCGAAAGGAGACTGCGACCATACCAGATGCCACACCATCTTGGTCTTCATATATTCAACAATTAAGTAGCTTTGCTGCCAGACACCATTTTCCTTGCTTCAGTTTATTGTTGAAGTTTTTCGTATATTATGTCTTTTCATTCTGACGATGTCTGTTACGGTGAGACGGACGGAAGCTCAGCACTGATTTATCGGAGTAGAGGGCTTCTTCACAACCAACAATATTCACTCCTCTGTCCGTTTCTGGTGCGACCAATTCGCCAATTGTCTCTCCAATCAACTTTTCTCTCGAAACGCAAAGTCAAACCACTCAAGTTTCGTCACTGTTTACCACTCCCTATCGCGGCTTAGCGACTACCAGAGCCTCGTGTGGCGGTTGGCCCCGACACTGGGGCTCCGACGACTCGAGCCGGATTGACTGAGCTGTCAAAGCCTTGCGGTTAGTGTAATTGTGACGAGGGAGATGCATTTGTCGGCTCTTCTGTAGCCTCGTGACTGATCGAAAACAGATCTTCCTCGGTTCGTGGCCAGGCCGAGGGCCATAGACATAGACAGGCAATGGTACTTTTTGGCAATTGATCCCGTTTTGGGCATGTCAGAGACCCCGGCAGGCCTGACAGACCGGGCAGGCCAGGACAGACTTACCAAAAGCCTATTCCGGGCATCCGAAATGGCCAAAGGGGCACATCAGGAGGTGTGGCCAGTAGATGGTCGGATGCACATGTAAGCCAGTGGTGAAGACGATTAGGCCAACCGGCATGTGCATACAAGTCTTCTAGTAAAGAATGCCCTCCAAACGGCCACATTAAACGTAGCCGATGCAAACAAAACAGACTTGCCCTTCGGATGAGCAAGCGGAGATTGGCCCAGGATCCGTGGTGAACGCAGCCACGAAGTGGCACGAAAACGGATAATAAACCTCACATCCGGGCCGAGTGGGTGTATCTTCCTTACTTTCCTCGTCTCCGTCTTAGACTCTATAGACCTAGCTTGATCTGGATGTATACACAAAAAAGGTTGTGAAATAATATTTTGTGTTGACCTTCATATCTTGTCAAATCCGACACAGAACAGCTGGTTTATATTAGTTTTGTTATTTAGTATAAAAGCGAATAATGAAGAGTTTCATAGGTCGATCTCACCACAAGACGACGCATGGTTCCGGACGTTCAGGTTAATTCAGTCCGCGAGGCATCACTCCCAGTTTTGGGTGAAAACGGGCATGAAATTAGGCCCTTTTATAATTGCTCTGAGGTACTCTGATTTACACGTGTGTTCATAAATACACACACGCAAACACGCATACAAGCACACTCATTTATACAAATGAAAACAGGCCAAATCAATTTGTGTATAGAAGTGCGAACATCTTGGTCTTCATATCTTCATTATGTGTATATCTATCCGCTTATATCTCTTTACTTTCAATTTAATTCATGTGCCTATATAGCATGAGGGATTGGGCCAAATACTCTTCTTAACTTGAAGTCGTTGCAAGAATGAGTTCCAGATCTGTCATATGACC